AAGGCAAAGGGGCAAGCATGCCTTGGCCATGGTGCTTCATGCTCTAGCTAGCATAAAGGATTCCAGTACCTCTTGTGCCCTAATTGTTCCCTAGTACTTGGTAGAACAGCTCTTTCATCTGTACTTTTTAGACCCTTGTGCTATCCATAGAATCAAAAATGAGTCCAGAGAAACTATGGAGTAGCCCGATGGGAGGGATGGACAGTGTCAATCACTACTCCCTCAGGTGACCAAGACTTCATTCTGTATTTCATCAAATCTAAGACCCACCATTGTGAGGTACATTGTTATTCCAAGTGTCACTAAAAGGGGGAAAGTGTTGCCAACTGTAATTGTAAGATGCCATCAGTTGTAAGACAGTCCTTATCCAGAAGTGTTAAAATGGGAAGGAAGACAAACAAACATGTCTTCGAATCAGTGGAAAATAGTAAAGCAAACTCTCTGGGCCTGGCCCCTCCTCCCATCAGAATTCCTTGGTTCCCAGGCGGTAGCTTCTTTCTCAGACAAATAATCTGGCACATTCCTCCAGCTCACAAGTCATGCCCAGGCAGCAGATTCCTGACTCTTCAACCGGGGAGCCCTGATTTCAAAAGATTTTTTTTTTCAAAGATACAGGGAAAAGTCTATAATATGGTATATAAAATATATTATCAATAATGTAAGAAAATGAACAGAAAAAAACTGGAGACATATTCTAAGAAAAATATTTACAACATATTGACAAAGGGTGATCCTACCTACATATCTTTAATATGTAAAGAATTCATAAGAAAAAAGGTGACTTCAACAGAAAACATTATCGAATTCATCCATTCAACACATATGTATTAAACATTTACTGTGTTCCAGGCTCTCTGTAGGCTCCGGGGCTGTTCAGCAAACAAATCAGAAAAGAAAATCTCTGTCCCAGTGAAGTTTATAGTGCCATGAAGAATACAGGCAATGAAAAGAGCAATCAGTAAGTGGGTAACAGATTGTTAGGAAGCGATCACTGCTGTGGGAAGAGTAAAGCAGGGCAGGGGACTGCAGTGCTCGGGTGCGTGTGGGTGCTGCACTTTCAAAGGGGGACATTTGAGTAAAGACGTGAGCAGGGTACAGACCGAGCCATGCCGACATCAGGGAGGACCTTTGAGGAGAGGGAAGGCGTGTGGGTGGAGGAGCAGTCCCCGGAGGTGTCTGCGCCCTAACCCCTGGATCCTGTGAATACGCTGCGTTAGGTGGCAGAAGAGACTCTGCCTGTGGAATTAAGGTTAGCGGCCTTGAAGTAGGGAGACTAGCCTGGGTTACCCAGGCGTGCCCAATCTAATTCCAGGCATCATTAAAGCAGAGAACTTTCTCCAGCTGGAGTGAGAGGGATGAGGCAGGAGAAGTCAGAGAGATGCCGGGTACGGGAAGGGCTGGACGCCCTGTTGGGGGACAGGGCAACATGCAAGGACCAGAGAGAGGCCTCCAGGAGCTAAGAGCCTCCCCCCGATCTGTCCCCAGCTGCTAGTTAGCAAGAAGGCAGGGACATTGGTCCTACCACCATGAGAAGCTGATTTGGCCAACAGCTGAATGAGGTTGGACACGGATTCCTTGCAGCTCCTCTGCTGAGTCCAGTTGGCCGACACCTTGATTTCAGCCCAGTGAACCCCAGAGAGAGGAGCCGTCGGCACGCCTGGGCTTCTGGGTAGGATGACATATCTGTGTTGTTCAAACCACTAAGTGAGTGGCAATTGGTACTGCAGCAGTAGGAAACTGACGCAGAAGGAGAAGGGCCGGTGCGGCAGAGTGAGTGCACCTGCTGGGTGCCAGGACCCCCTGGGAGGCCAGGGGGTGGGGGGCAGCGAGGCAGGCGTTGGGCTATCAGGAGACAAGACACAAGGAGGCCAGGGCATGGGCAGGTCGCCAGCCTAGGGGTGCCATAAGGACTTTGGCTTTTATTCTGAGAGAAACTAGAAGCCATCTCAGTGCTTTGAAAGGAGGAATGACTGATCTGATTTACATTTTAGAAGGCTCACTCCGGCTGTGTGTTTAGATCACAGGGAGGCAAGTGTGGAAACAGGAGACCAGTTAGCGGGGACTATTGCAACAATTCAGAAAAACCCTACACTCTTTATATTTAAAGTTGTGTGTGGATGGAATGATGAGATGTCTCATTTACTCCACGGGGTTCTATAGGAGAAATAGGCTGGCCTTGTATCGACACGTTGAAGCTGGGTGATGGGAACACGGGCTTTATTATGCTCTTCTTCCTGGTTTAGGATATGTTTGAAAATACTCCATGATTAAAAATAATGCTGCACCAGACGCTACAACCCACACCCTATAACATAACAATTTATAGCAATACTAATCAATGTTATCCCTGTAAACCAATGAGAATTCCTGACAAACAACTTCGTACCAGCCCACTCCCTGTCCCCCTGTTTTGACCTGCTTGTACACCGGGCGCGGTGGCTCACGCCTGTAATCCTAGCTCTCTGGGAGGCCGAGGCGGGCGGATTGCTTGAGGTCAGCAGTTCGAAACCAGCCTGAGCAAGAGCGAGACCCCATCTCTACTATAAATAGAAAGAAATTAATTGTCTAACTAATATATAGAGAAAAAATTAGGCTGGGCACGGTGGCTCATGCCTGTAATCCTAGCACTCTGGGAGGCTGAGGCAGGCAGATTGCTCAAGGTCAGGAGTTTGAAACCAGCCTGAGCAAGAGCAAGACCCTGTCTACAATAAATAGAAAGAAATTAAATATATAGAAAAAATTAGCCGGGCATGGTGGTGCATGCCGGTAGTCCCAGCTACTTGGGAGGCCGAGGCGGTAGGATCACTTGAGCCCAGGAGTTTGAGGTTGCTGTGAGCTAGGCTGACTCCACGGCACTCACTCTAGCCTGGGCACCAAAGCGAGACTCTGTCTCAAAAAAAAAAAAAAAACCTGCTTGTAACAAAGGCCAAACACAGTCATAGCCAAGGTTACTGTGGTCTGAGTCTTCTAGGCAGGTGTCGTCACTTTGGCTCCAGTAAACTCTTTAAATTATATTTTGTGCCTCAGCCTCTTCCTTTTAGGTCAGCAAAGCACAGGCGATTATTTTAAGTATGTCTTGAAATAGACTTCTAAGAGCAAGATAGAAAATTCCCAAAACTTGGTGCACATTACAGAACAAAGCCTGTACTTTCTTCCCTGTACTTTCTGCTATGGTCTGAATGTTTGTGTTCGCCACCCTTCTCCCCCAATTCATACAGTGAAAGCCTAACCCTTGGTGTGATGGTAGTAGGAGACAGGGACCCTTGGGAGGTGATTAGATCATTGAGGTGGAGCCCTCATGAATGGGATTAGTGCCCTTATAAAAAGGCCCCAGAGCCCCCTTCCCCACCTCTGCCCCGTGAGTTCACAGTGAGAAGGCAGCCGTCTGTGAACCAGGAAGTGAGCCCTCACCAGGCGCTGAATCTGCGGTGCCTTGGTCTTGGACTTCCCAGCCTCCAGCACTGTGAGAAATAAACTTCTTTTGTTTATAACTTACCCAGTCTGTGGTATTTTGTTACAGCAGCCAAATGAACACTTTTCTACACTTCTCTTCATTTTCTGAAATGTTTTTACAATGAACATATATTACCATTATCATAATTTTCTTTCAGAAAGGATCAAGGTTGTATTAGTTTGCCAGGAAGGGCAAGAAAGTACTTTCAGGAAGAAAGTACCGCCACAGACTGGGTGACTCAAACATTTACTCTCTCATGGTTCTGGAGGCTGGAAGTCCGAGATCAAAATGTTAGCAGGGCGGGTTCCTTCTGAGGCTGTGAGGAGACCCTGCTCCAGGCCTCTGCCCCGGCTTCCGGCAGTCTGCTGGTACTCCTCAGTGTTCCTTGGCTTGTACGTACATCACCCTGATCTGGGCCTTCGTCTTCACCTGGCACTGCCTGTGTGTGCCCACCTCTGTCCAAATGTCCCCTTCTTATAAGGACAAGGGTTATATTGGATGAGGGCCCACCCTAATGACCTCATTTTACCTTGATTACCTATGTAAAGAACCCATTTCCAAATGAGATCACATTCCAAGGTTACTTGGGAGTTAGGGGACACAGTTGGACCCATAACAGAGATATTTCCTTAAAACAAAAAATGATAGACTTCTAAAATTTAAATGTCAGAAACTTGTGGAATTTTAAACCTGTGCATGAAGAGAAGGCATTTCCATGGAAGCATGAACCCTTCAATAAGTTTCCTTAAGGTCAATGCTCTTACTAACGTGTAAAGCTATGTGAGAAGATTTGGGCCACAAATTCAGGACAGCATGAGAGTAGAGCACATCTTCCTGGAAGATGCTTTTTCGTTTGCTTTAATTCTCCACCACTTAAGCTTCCCGGGCCTAAGGTATTGGCTCCTCTTTCTCTGAGAAGGGCCTGGTGAGGTCACCTCCCCGAAGGGCCTCTCCTCTGTCATGGGAGCACCTAGATGTCCAGGAAGCTGAGAATCGTCCCCAGCCGCCACACATTCTCCTGCTCCGCAGGGAGGAAAGGCTTCCTTTGGGAAAGTTCCTCGAGCTCATTAATGCTTTAGGGCGTTCTTTTTTAAAGCTTATTTTTGTATCCTGTTGTTAAGTGAAATGTAACCTCCCTCTGTGCAAAATGGAAGAAGTAATTACTCTGTTTTTTTTTAAATCAGAAAACCTAGAATTTTTCTGGTAATTATGCAGTCATTGACATGGCTTAGTGACTTTCACACAGCCCTTTCCTATTCTTTGTATGCCTGCTTTGTCCTGAAGTAATTCCAGCACGCTGGTGTCCGGGCGCTGCTACATTGGCGTAGCGCGGCCCGCTCGCCCCCCGCGGGAGGGCGGTGGGTTCCTGTTCTTCTCCTCCCGGGCTGTGTTTGGCGACTCACACACCGCCAGCTTTTCCACACTGCCTGCCAGGCGGGTGCCCCGCGCCACCCGGGAGGAACCCTTTTCTGATAATCTCTGATCCTTGTCTACAGGAGAATCCTGCCCAGAAATGGGGAGTGACACGACAGACACAGAAAAGACAGAAAAGCCAAAACTGGAGGAGGTGCTGGAAACTGCCAGTAACTTTGCCAAGTAAACAGGTTTTGTTGGGAGGCAAGAGAGGGCAGCCGGGCAGGGGCTGGGACATCCGTGAACGTCCAGGGGACACCCTCAGTGGGTGTGGGCTGCAGCCACTCCTGTGCCTCACCTTCCCCTGCTCTCTCAGGTGGCAGCAGTTAGGCCACCGGAGGGCCTAGATTTTCTGGCAAAGTCCTCTGTTCAAATGTTTTCTCCATTTTATTCACTTTCTCACTAATCACAATAAGGTTTTCAGCAGCAGTGTCATTACCACAGCGTGCCCGAGCTTCCTCTGAGCCAGCATGCCCAGCACTTGGCTCGAACCGCTCCACGCAGCGCTCGCGGCGCCTTGCGAAGCACGGTAGGTCCCGCTGCTCGCCCCAAGGTAAGTCCCGCTGCTCGCCCCAAGGTAGGTCCCGCTGCTCGCCCCGGGGTTTCCAGGCGGGGAGACCGAGTCGCGGGGAGAGGCACAGTGTTCCCCAGAGGCCCGGCCTCCCAGCAGGACGCGGCCAGGCAGGGGCCCTCCCGGGTGGGCACTGGTGCGGATGATTTCCCACGCATTTGCTCCCCGGTCCTCACACGTTTACACCCGTGGCTGTCTCTTCAGGAGGCAGGGAAACAGGCTCACTGACGTGCCCCAGGTCACGCGAGCTGGATTCGCGTCCAGCGCCAAGGCAGCCTCTTGCCAGGCCAGGAAGACTGGCCCAGCAGGTGGCCCCTGAGGCCTCGCCAAGGGACAGCTGCCCGAATGAAGGCTGCATTAGGTGCTTGCAAGAAGCCGGAGAGACTGCCCTGAAACACTTTGCTTTTTGCCTTTAAAAGATGCTTCATTTTCATGAAGATATTGTTTTTTGGGGTTTTTAAAATTTTTTTGAGACAGTCTTGCTCTGTTCCCCAGGCTAGAGTGCCGTGGCGTCAGCCTAGCTCACAGCAACCTCAAACTCCTGGGCTCAAGCGATCCTCCTGCCTCAGCCTCCCGAGCAGCTGGGACTACAGGCATGCGCCACCATGCCCGGCTTATTTTTTCTATATATTTTTAGCTGTTCAATTAATTTCTTTCTATTTATAGTAGAGACGGGGTCTCACTCTTACTCAGGCTGGCCAACTCTCTGGGATTACTGAATTGCCTAAGGTCAAACACTTTTCTGACTTGTAACATGAATTTCAGTTCTCAGCAGAAACCATGTTTGAAGGTCCCACATATTCTCTCAAACCAACGTATCCCAACTCGTGGTCTGTAGAACTTCCTGTATCAAGACTACTTGTATCAGGATCAGCTGAGGCTCTAAACAAACCTGAAGATTCTTGGGTTCCCATCTCAGCCTTACTAAATAGGAATGCCAGGGATTGGGGCCCCAAAATCTTCATTTAAACAGGCACATGGGGAAATTCTCACGAGCGTTAAACTCTGAGAACCACCGGCCTTTTCTCGTTTTCATGTCAGCATTCCTCCTTGGGTTGTCACCATTCAAAATGAGGGAGGTGGTAAGCCCGCTTGCTCTCCTGTTCCTCAGCGACACCTAGATTGTAAGGTCAGTCTAGTGGGTGGTCATGCAGGGAGGGAAGCCAGGTGGCATCACTGCTCAGTATCCTTGGGCCAGCGGCCACTTTCACCCCCCAAAGCCTTAATCTTTTCATTGCAAAACCATGATGGTGACAATAATTATTTCACAGCAGTACTACCAACATTACGTAAAATAATGTCTACAAAAGTCTGTGCAAACCAAAACTTGCTCTAATATGTTATCATTGTTATCCACAGCTTAACCCTCCTCCCTCTCCACTAAGGGGGTCCTGGTTCAGGGTTACTTCTAGATTGGTGATGTCCAATATGGTAGCCACTAGTCACATGTGGCCTTTGAATACTTTGTATGTGACTACTCTTAATTTTATTATAGATGTGCTATAAGTTAAAATATTCACCATATTTTGAGGACTTAGTACAAACAACAGAAAGTAAAATATTTCATTAATAAATTTTGTTATATTTTTGGAGATAAGGTCTTGTTCTGCTTCCTCGGCTGGGGTACAGTGGCCTCATCATAGCTCACTGCAGCCTCGAACTCCTTGGCTCCATCAATCCTCTCCCCTCGGCCTCCAAAAGTGCTAGGATTACCAGTGTGAGCCACTACACCTGGCCTCATTAACAAATTTTTAATATTGATTATCTATTGAAATAATAGTTTGGTTTAAATAAAATATATTACTAAAATCAATCTCATCCTTTTTTCCTCCTTTTTTTGAAATATGGCTAAGTGGAAAATTTTTATTGCATGTGTGATTTGCATTATATTTCTATTGGATAGTGCTATAAATCTTTTTGATAAAATGCTTGCATAAAAATTCACAAATTAAAAAGAACAATGGGCCGGGCACGACGATGGCTCATGTTTGTAATCCTAGCACTCTAGGAGGCCGAGGCGGGCGGATTGCTCGAGTCAGATTCGAAACCAGCCATAGCAAGACGAGACCCCCTCTCTACTATAAATAGAAAGAAATTAATTGGCCAACTAATATATATAAAAAATAGCCGGGCATGGTGGCGCATGCCTGTAGTCCAGCTACTCGGGAGGCTGAGGCAGGAGGATTGCTTGAGCCCAGGAGTGTGAGGTTGCGTGAGCTGGCCTGACGCCACAGCACTCACTCTAGCCTGGGCAACAAAGCGAGACTCTGTCTCAAAAATAAATAAATAAATAAAATAAAAGATAACAGCACAATAAAAGATAAATAAAACAGCAAAATAAAAGACAACGGCACAATGACACGTTAGCGTTCATTCGCGCACTCGGCGGTTGGTGAGCTGGGCAGCGCCAGCGAGCGGGCGGTGAGCGCTCCGCCGGGAGGCCGGGAGGGGACGCTTTCATGAGGCGTTTCACGAGGCAAGACAAAGAAAACCTACCTGATGGGCTTAAGTGGAAAGTCCCTTGGTGAGGGGTTAGTTGGCTGTTTCTGACTGGTTAAGTCTCCAGTTTCACTGTGCTGTTTATACTGGGTTTCTGTTTGCTCGTAGGAACTGAAAGTGCCAGAGCCGCCCCAATCTAGTGGCCTCCATATTAGGAAGGTTTTTCATGCCACCTTTCATCACTGCAGGTAAATCTGACCTGAAAAAGAAAATCCATATACAAGTATTGGAGTCTAGTCAATGGCATGCGTGTTCAAGGGGTAATGTGTCCCCGTCGCAACTTACATAGGAATATATCAAAAAATAAGATGGAGGGAGGGAGGGATGGATAAGTGAATAGATGTGTGATAAAATAAACACAGCAAACTATTGACAGCAGAACTAAGGTCTGTGGTTCTCAAAGTGATGTTCAGGAACCAGCAGCTGTGGCATCACTGGAAATTATCTTTTGTTTTGTATTAATTGGCACATCTTGAGGTCGATCAACATCCGTCTCTAGAGCTCTTGGAGTGGCTAAAACTTGAGAACTACCGGTGTAGTTGGTGGTATACTGGTGTTCATTGTACATGCTTTCAAGTTTTCTGTATGTCGACAATTTTTGTGATAGAATGTTGGGGTGGAGAAAAGATTGCACAGTCAGGGAGTGGGTGGCTGGCATCGTATTAAGAAGGAACACTTTCCACAGGTGGCTATGACCAGTCCTTCCGTCCTCTGTCTCTCCATCAGCAACCTAGACTTTTCTAATGACCATTCTGGGTATCAAAAATGGGCTTTTGTGGATAAAAATAGTGTCCTGTTATTTGATAAGGTAAATGGTAGAAATGGGCTCCCTTTGGTGAGATTAAAGATACTCAAGTACGGACTGGTTAAAACAAGTTTGACATCCTCCACCCTTGCAAGAGCAAGGGATAAGAATTCAGAGGCCTGCAGATTGCACCCTTGGGTCTGCCTTGAGGTTTGAGGGCTACTCCGTGCAGGGCCCAGCCTGTGCATCCTAGGACTGTTGTCGCATCTGCTGTGAACAAGGTACGGGCTGCAAGTAAAGGAACACAGGGAGCTGGAAGTTCTTTGAGCTTACGAAATAGGTTTTATGAACTGTTTTGTGCTCGCTTCGCTAATAAATGTCTGTAATAAATATCTTTATGTCCAAATTTAGGCTGAGACTTGCTTTCTTCATAACCTGGGAGTAAGATGTGGGAAAGTGGTTAACTCTAACCACTGCACGATGGTCTGGCAGGCCGGACGTGGTGGTGTGTCCCTGTAGTCCCAGCTACTCAGGAGGCCAAGGTGGGAGGATCACTTGAGCCCAAGAAGTGGAGACCAGTCTGGGCATCACAGTGGGACCTTGGCAGTTACCACTGCATATCAAAGTGAAGCTAGGAGTTGTGTATGATCAAGTCAGTTATAACAGCAGGGGACAGATTATTTGATATCCAGAGATAGTTTTGAAAAATTTGTGTGGTTGCCCCACCAGAAGTTCATCTGTTTACTACTATTACTTTAAAAAATCCTTCTAACATATTTCTCAAAAAATATTTTTTTGGCTTTTGGACTTTCTTTCACTTCTGTTTAGGATTAATTACAGCCTTCTTTTGTTAGCCAGACTTCTCCTTTTTCCTAAAATTTTAAAAAATACTAATTACTCCAAAAAGTTCATTCCAGATGGAAGGAAATCTAAGGACTTGGCATATATTGGAATAACTCCTAATATTTAATTCTACATTAAGGCTTTTACCAAGCTGCCTCTTCATATAAGGAACACCAGCCTATGAGTTCTTAACCTCAGGTGGATAGAAGTCAAGGGAGTTTGTGAACTTGGATGGGGAAGATTTACACCTTCATTTTCTCTAACTTGTAACTAAAATTGAGCATTTCCTTTTGGTATAATCTAGGCAGCACATCCCAGTTGCTTTGTCTCCCATAGGGATCATAGGTATTTTCATATGACATTACTATTGTTGGCGTTATTCTTGAAATACCATTTGTGCTCATCCCTACTCCAAAACTATGGAAGTTGTTAGATCTGCCATCCGATCCTAATGCACGAATAAAGGAACACATACCCAAATTTTAAAATATGCGGTCATGGTATTTCAATAAAATTGGTTTCCTTTGTAACTGTAAGTATTTCATGTTATGCATTAGAAACTATTCCGAGGAGGGTTCCTGGCTTCCCCAGACTATCAGAGGGTTCACGGCCCAGCGAAGACTTAGAATCCCTGCTTAGCCAGACTTGGAGATGTTTCACTGAGATTTGTTTCAGAGCATGTCAGGATTGAAAATCCCTCTTGGGACTCTGCCAGTGAGACTTCCACGATTGTTCTGAATTCCAAAGAGCTGGAAGGCAGAGGAGGCAAAGTGCAGGCGGGTGGAAAACAACACTTGCTCAAGAAACCAGACCAGAAGAGGAGGCATCTGCCTCAGCCCTTCCTGTCTCTTCTTTCAACGTCCCATCAGGCCTCCCATCTGGGCCTGGCGGTTTGCTAGTGTTTCATTGTTACAGCGATGTCCTTTGCTATTGAAAAGAATAATCCCCAGATTCCTCACGTTTGGTATGAACCTCAGTATCTTCAGTGGCTCCAAATTTATTGCACATGCGTTGCCCAGTTTTCAGCGAAGGCCAACGTTAGCCCATCGCACGGAAGTGCATGATAAACTGCTCCTGCTTTCTTGGCCGTAAAACCCAACGAGAAACTGTTCCAAGTTCAAGATGAACACAGTGTGTGTAATAAAATTAAAGGAAGAAGAGGAGGGGGGAAGAACAAGAAAAAGATCCCTGCTAACCACTAAAGGCACTTTAAATGCGCTTGCTCATCGACACCCTCTGATTAACCTTTTTTTTATCGCGAGCAGGTTTAACATGAGCTGTACCCTCAACAAATTTCTGTTGAGTCTTGTTAACTACAGGCACAGTGTTGTACAGTGTTGTTGACTATAGCAGCAGTCTTGTTAACTACAGGCACAGTGTTGTACAGCGTTGTTGACTATAGCAGCAGTCTTGTTAACTACAGGCACAGTGTTGTACAGCGGATCTCTAGGGTTTATTCCTCATGCATAACTGAAATTTCATACCCTTGGAATAGCAACTCCCCATTTCCTCCTCCCCCAGCTCCTGGCAGCCACCATTCTACTCTCCGCTTCTGTGCGTTTGACCGTTCTCAATGCCTCATCTGAGTGACATCATGCAACATTTCTCCTTCTGTGCCTGGCTGACTTCACCGCGCAGACTGCCCTGCAGGTGCGCCGTGTTGCCGCGGACGGAGGAGCTCCTCCTCTGGCAGGGTGGAGTGACACTGCGTCGTGTGTGTGCGGCACACTTACTTTATCCATTCACTCACGTACTGACACTCGGGAGAAGAGCTGCAACATCGTGGGAGTGCAAGTACTTCTTCACGATCCTGTTTTCAGTTATGTAGGATAACTGTCCAGAAGTGGGGTTGCTGACTCATATGGTAACTCTATTTTTATTTTTATTTTTTTGAGGAGGCTCCATACTGTTTTCCACAGCAGCTGTACCATTTTACATTTCAACCAAGCGTGTAGAAGTGTTTTGATTTCTTCACATCCTTGCCAACATCTATTTTTTTAAATCTTTTTAAAAATAGCCATTCTATGTTTATAGCAGCACAATTCATAATCACAAAGATGTGGAAACAACCCAAGTGCCCATCAATACATGTGTGGATTAATAAAACACGGTATATGTATACTATGGAGTACTACTCAGCCATAAAAATGGCAAACTAATACCCTTTGTAACAACCTGGATGGAACTGGAGACCATTCTTCTAAGTGAAGTATTTTAAGAATGGAAAAACAAACACTACATGTATTAATACTTACTATTAAACTGGAACTAATCGATCAATAGCAACAACAAAAATAGCCATCCTAACAGTTGTGAAGGATATCTTATTGTGGTTTTGGTGTATATTCCTGTATATTCCATGTATATTTGATGATTAGTGATGTTGAGCATCATCTTTTCATACACCTGTTGGCCATTTGTGTGTCGTCTTTGGAGAAATGCCTATTCAAGTCCTTTGCCCATTGTTAAATTGGGTTATTTGCGCTTTTGCTGTTGAATTATAGATGTTTCTTATACATTTGGCATATTAATCCCTTGTCAGATGTATGATTTGCAGATATTTTCTCCTATTTTGCAGGTTGATTTTCACTCTGTTAATTGTTTCCTTTGCTGCATAGATGTTTTTAGTTTGATGCAGTTCAAATTGTCTATTTTTGCTCTTGTTGCCTGAGCTTTTGGTGTCATATCAAAGAAATTATTGCTAAGGCCAATGTCATGAGGTTTTTCTCCTATGTTTTCTTCTGGGAGTTTTACAGTTTCAGAATTTACATTTAAGTCTTTAATCCATTTGAGTTGATTTTTGTGTATGGTATAAGATAAGGGTCCAATTTCATTCTTTTGCATGTAGATATCCAGTTTTCACAGCACCCATTTATTAAAGAGACTATTCTTTTTCCATTGTATATTTTTGGCACCCTTGTCACAGACCAGTTAAAAGCCAGGCATGGTGGTTCATGAGTAATGGTGGTTCATGAGCTGTAATCACAGCTACTCAGGAGGCTAAGGTGGGAGGATCCCCTGAGGCCAGGAGTTCAAGACCAGCCTGGTCAACATAGCAGACTCTAAAATTTTTTTTTTTTTTTAATTAACCAGATGTGGTGGCATTCACCTATATTTCCAGTTACTCTGGCAGAAGGATCACTTGAACCCAGGAGTTCAAGGCTGAATTAAGATATGATCATACTACCGTATTCCAGCCTGGGCAACAGAATGACAGCTTCCCCAAAATAAATAAATGAAATAAAGATCAGTTGATCATATATGAGTGGGTTTATTTCTGGGCTTTCTATTCTGTTCCATTGAACTATATGTCTGTCATTATGCCAATACCATACTGTTTTAATAACTGTAGATTTAAAATATATGCAGAAATCAAGAAATATGATGCCTCCAGATTTGTTCTTCTTTCTTTTTTTTTTTTTTTTTTTGAGACAGAGTCTCACTTTGTCACCAGGCTAGAGTGAGTGCCGTGGCGTCTGCCCAGCTCACAGCAACCTCAAATTCCTGGGCTCAAGCGATCCTCCTGCCTCAGCCTCCCCAGTACCTGGGACTACAGGGGTACACCACCATGCCCAGCTAATTTTTTTCTATTTTTAGTAGCAATGGGGGTCTTGCTTTTGCTCAGGCTGGTCTCAAACTCCTGACCTCAAGCAGTCCTCCTGCCTCTGCCTCCCAGAGTG